GGGGCCGGTCCCCAAAAAAAAAAAAAAAAAAAAAAAAAAAAAGAGAAAGAAAGACAGTGGAGATTGGTACCTATTGCAGAGCGTTATTGTAATTTGGATTTTGAAAGACCTTTGTAATCTTTACTATGGAAATATGAGAAATTGCAGTACATATTCTACACTAAAGTATAAACTTCTTGAGAGCACCTAACGGTCCTATATATAAAACTAATTTGATGAATGTTTTTCACTTCAGATTTGATCAACGTGCTTTAAAATGTATACATCATACAGGGATAGAATTATTCATAACTGCCCTGTTCTATTTTGCTTTGTGTCATTTAACATTCAAGTTCAGTGTTTCTATCTCCATTTGGTGTTCCACTATTATCGTGACTCAGTATAAAACTATTGAGGTGTTATGGAACCTTCAAGATCACCTGGTACCTAACCCCTTTATTTAACACATAAGGAACTGACATTCAGAAAAGTGAAGTAACTTCCCCAGCTAGTTAGAAGGGCAAACTGGAATCTCGGATTCTCACAGTTCTCAATTCTTTGCCCTCATTCCCTCTCCCATCCTCCTCCCAAATTGTTTATCTTTTCATTTCTCTATTTGTCCTCGTGGTAGCATCATACTAAATACTGTTTTCTAAATACTGTTTTTTTTTAAAGTACTCCCACAATTCACTTTTCAGCTAAAGCATCCTGTTAAGAACCAAAATCTGGAGTAGTTTTCCTCTTACTGTGTAACAAATTACCCAACACTTAGTGGCTTAAAACAACAAACACTATCTTGCATAATTTTTGTAGGTCAGCTTAGTTGGGTAGTTCTGGCTCAGGGTCTCTCATGGTCAAGATGTCAGCTGGGACCACAGTCATCTGAAATCTTGACTAGGGCGGAAATAATCTTTTTCTGAGGAGGCTCACTGACATGCCTAGCAAGCTTATGCTGCCTATTGCCAGGAGGCCTCAATGCTTTGCCACATGGGCCTGTGTACAGGGTACTTGAATACACACATGGCATGGCATCTGAATTCCCCAAGCACAAATAAAGCCATAAGATTTATGAATGTGGCAGGAGATTTATATGGTCTTTGTCCAGGTTTTCACACAGTTTTTTAAAAACATTATTGAATGAGTTGGCCTGTGTTTGATAAGGTTAGCCATTTTTGTAGCATCATACAGAACTTTTTTCATTTCAGCTCTGAAAGCTTCCGACAACAGCACTTCTGTGAGAAGAAAGCAGTGTGTTTTGGGGCCGGCCCGTGGCTCACTTGGGAGAGTGTGGTGCTGATAATACCAAGGCCACGGGTTCAGATCCCACGTAGGGATAGCCGCTTAGCTCACTGGGTGAGCATAGTGCTGACAACACCAAGTCAAGGGTTAAGATCCCCTTACCAGTCATCTTTAAAAAAAAAAAAGAAGAAGAAGAAGAAGAAGAAGAAGAAGAAACCACCGTGTTTTGAATACAAGTACATCAGAATTTTCTTTTTCTTTTGAAAAAAAAAGATGACAGGCAAGGGGATCTTAACCCTTGACTTGATGTTGTCAGCACCACATTCTCCCAAGTGAGCCATGGGCCAGCCCCACGAATTTTCTTTTTTTATGAAAGGTGAAAACTCCCAGGGAGCTAATCATTGATGGGGCACCATCAGGACAGGTACAAACAGTTCTTTCAAGATGTACTTTTTGTTTCCAATATGAAGATAACATTAGATATATCCACCTTTGCTTGTTTGAGGCAACATTTTATAGCAGAAAAATATTCTCAAATTTCATAATAATTTATAAATACGGGATTCATCAACCTGGGTAAGAAGTTGTTGGGGATTTGGATGCTATTCTGCATCATGTGACATGTCTGTCATCAATCACATCAATTTGTCAAACTTTGTAAGTAAAATCTTTTTAGTTTCTCATATCATATCCTGGCATTTTACTCTCTCTAATTTTACATGCTGCAATTGTGAGGTTCTCATCAATTGTGGGGCTTTTTCCTTTTCTGATCAAAAAGTTCTGCTACTAAATATTTCACTTTCCTGACCTTTTCACTGAAGGTGGCTTTTTTTGAAAAAAAGCAAATTCTTTACTCTGGGTTTCCAAAGACCATTTAAAATTATCTGCTTCTTTACTATGTAGTTAAGTGCCTTTTCAATTTTGTGCAGCCATTGCCACATTTATAAGTTTTGGTTCTTCATTCTTTATCAGAACTACCAAGGCTTAGAATTCTTTTTCATCTTCCACCTTAACTTCAAAAATCAGCACATTGGCTTGTAAGTCATATTTGTAAAACACAGGTGCTAAGAAAGTATAAAGCAAACTAAACAAGGAAATCACAAAAGAAAAATGAAATCTTCATAATACAATTCACCTTTAACCTACAAGCTCCATGTTTCACAATGTTTATGATATTAGCAAAACAACAGTGAGGCATCTGAATCATAGAACATAAAACTTCCTTCCTTAGGATGAAAATTTACCACTGGATTTTCTATTACATCAGGGTAGCCCATTTGCTGATGTGAAATATGCATAAAGCAAATGTACTTCACAGGGCTTCAAATATTGACCTTACAAAAAACAGGAAATTTTCCCCAGATTATTTAGTCTCTGTTTTAAAATAAAGAGTTGTAACACAGCAAGGTTGCTGGCTCAAAGACAGACAGGTTACTGATTGATATGTAAAGATATTGGGAAGCTGTATAGGGAGAAGGAATATTTGCTAGAATCAAGCTTTTGTTAATGGATGGACTTAATTAGATGTTACCAGCTTCTATTGTTAAACTTGTTAAACTGTACTTAGCAAAAACCCCACCTGTGTCTCTTCCCGTAACTTCCTGGGCTGGAGAATAAATGCAGGAAGAGAACCCCAATTCGTGGTTAATTTCCCAAGTGGAAGGAATGCCTCACGCTTGAGGGTTCTGGGATATTAACCCCT